TTTGGTTGGCGATTCAAGCAATAATGTTAATCCCTCAACCGCGCCTCTCCTTGGCCGCCACTTTGCCCGCGTCTCTCCCCGCCTTTCACCCTGGCTTTTCACCCTCTCTCTTTCTCCCTCTCCCCCTCTTTCCCTGCCGCGTTGTCCGCGTCTCTCCCTGGCTCTCACCATCTCCCTCTCTCCCGCCCTCTCCCTCGCCCTCACCCTCTCCCCCGCCCTCACCCTCTCCCCCGCCCTCACCCTCTCTTTCCCTCTTCCTCCTCCCGCCTGCCGCGTCGCCCGCGCCTCTCCCTGGCTTTTTCCCTTTCCCTCTCCCTCGCCTTCTTTCCCACCCTCTTCCCCATCCTCTCCCCCGCCCTCAACCCCCTCGCCCTCTCCCTCCCTCTCCCTCTCCCCTGCCGCCTCTCCCCTGCCGGCTCTCCTTCTGCCGCGTCGCCCGCTCCTCTCTCTCGCGCCCCCTCTCTCTCTTCCTCCTCACCCTCTTTCTCTCTTCCTCTCCCTCCCCCCGCCTGCCGCCTCGCCCTCTCCCTCTCCCTCCTCCCGCCTGCCGCCTCACTCTCCCTCTCTCTACTCCCGCCGGCCGCGTCGCCCGCGCCTCACCCTCGCCCTCTCTCTCTCCTCTCTCCTCTTTCTCTCTCCCTCTCCCTCTCCCTCCCCCCGCTGCCGCGTTGACCGCGCCTCACCCTCGTCCTCTCTCTCCTCTTTCTCTCTCCCTCTCCCTCTCCCTCTCCCTCCCCCCGCCTGCCGCGTTGCCCGCGCCTCTCCCTCGCCGCTAGCGTCACAATAGCCGGGGTTACCACGAAGATTTAACGGTCATCATTGGCCGGGATAAGCATTCACAGACAGGTGACCGATTAACATGAGAATAACTCTCGACGTGTTCTCCATTCACTACAGCTTAACGTAACAGCGTGCGAGCGCGCGGGCGACGGCTTTGTCGCGACGCCACGAGTGGAGCGTGAGCGTGTCCAACTGAGATGAATAATATGCTTACAATACGAGCAGAATGTGTCAGTCAATCCGTCCGTGACGGAGTGCTGTGGAAAGAGAGGCAGCGAGAAAGGCAGAGAAAGGCAGAGAGAGCGATGGAGAGATGAAGATACAGAGAATAGCAGAGAGGGAGAGAGGCAGAGAGGGAGAATGAGAGACAGACAATGGAGTGAGAGAGAGAGACAACGCGAGAGAGAGAGAGAGAAGGAGAGAGAGAGAGAGAGAGAGAGCGGGAGAGAAAGAAAGCGAGAGAGAGAGAGAGAGAGAGCGGGAGAGAAAGAAAGCGAGAGAGAGAGAGAGAGAGCGCGCGGGAGAGAAAGAAAGCGAGAGAGAGAGACATGTACAGACAGAGGGAGAGAGAGAGAGAGGGAGAGAGCGAGAGCGAAAGAAAGAACGGGCGAGATAGGAGTGAGAGGGGCGAAGGAGAAAGAGCCGCATTGCTTCGATAGCCATCTCTCTGTTTGCAGCTTATTAATTTGGCATGAATAGTTTGTGAGTCAGTCATTTGTCCCTCCCCCATATCGCGCTCTCCCCCCCCCCTCTCTCTCTCTCTCTCCCTCTCTCTCTCGCGCGCGCTCTCTCGCTCTCTTTCTCTCTCTCTCTCTCTCACTCTGTCTGGCGCTCTTTCTCTCTTCCCCCCCTGTCTCTCGCTCTCGCTTTCTCGCGCGCTTTCTCTACTTTTCTCTTAGAAGTATGTGTATCTGTATGTCTCTCTTTCCCTCGCTATTCCTTCTACCTCTCTGTCACTCACGCTATTTCTCTCTCTCTCTCTCTATCTCTCTCTGTCTCTCTCTGTGGCTCTCTCTCTCTCTCACACACTCTCTATCTGTCTCTCTATCTCTCTCTCTCTCTCTCTCTTTCTCTACGCGTGTCTCCCCGTCTCTATCCCTCCTCCTTCTTCTCTGCCACTCATACTACTCTTTCTTTATTCCCCGTCTTTCTCTCCTCCTATATCTCATCCTCCTCTCTCCTTCTCCCTCTATCTCCCCCTGTCTCGCTCTCTTTCCCTCCCGATATGAGCATCAGCAGAGAGCGATTTGCTGATGTCAGACTGACAGCATCGGATCAGCTTTCACATGCAATGAGCTATTGTCAGGTCACGTGACAGCTGTCGCGAGCGGCCCGTCGCCAGGGCACGTGACTGTGACATCCAATAAGCGAGCCGGATAATGCGACGATGGCAATAAATATATATATATCGCGACTAATCTTGATATATCATGCGTGTGTGTGGTGGTGGTGGGAGAGGGGACGGTGTCGGTGACAGAGCGTGTAGAGAGAGACGGCGGGCTACGTAATGTGATGATCGGCTTATATTAACAGCTTAGCTTACGTAATGCGCATATATTCCCTGTTAAATAGCGCATTCATACGCGTCTGTACGTAGTAGCTCCCTGGAATAGCTCGGATCTCACGTGTGCGCTACGGTGCACGTGTTCTGTCTTAGCCGATGAGCCGATACTGCTTCTGATCGGCTTGGTGGGTGCGTGGGATCGAAATAGGATCAAATAGACGATATATATACAAGGAATCTATAGAGAATGGGACAAAGATGATTATATGTTTATAATTTTCTATATAAGTCTATCATTATTATATATATATATATATATATATATATATATATATATATATATATATATATATATATATATATATATATATATCTTTATTATAAAGATATATAAGATATATCTTTATTATATATTTATCATATGATTACGCTGCCATGCGTACGGAACACGAGAATTCAGTCGTGTGGTATTATGGTTCTAGATTATCTATTCTCCGTGTGAAAATGTTGCTGTGACCGGCAGTAGCGTCTCACACACGATTGTTGTGTGGTGGTCATCGGCCGGAGTTAGTATAGCATCAGATATTTTTCACAATCTAGTTTTCGCTGGTTATCGTAGAATATACAGTATATAGAATATACCCTCGTGTTTCTGCTCGTTAGTAAATTAGTAGATTATTATTAAAGAGACAGGATCTAGATAGAGAATAGACGAAGAGCAAATAAAGAGGGTTAAAGAGGATAGTATAGAGAGTGGTAGCGGAGGAAGTAGATGAGATTACCGTGGTCATAAATAAGAACGCTGTCTATTTGTCACTTGTTTATTATTAATTTTAACAATGACCACGGTTATCTGCAAAGATAGAAATAACATTCATTCAGATACATGTACATAAATAATATCATTAACATTATCTAGTTAGTAACAAGTAATCCCACCTACCCTTAGCCATTCCCAGTATAAATAAGACCAGCGTATATATATATTGAATAAATATTATTGAAGATTGAGATAGCTAGAGTAGCTACTAAATTAAACAGCGGCAATTAATAGGAAGGCTGGATAGTAGTAGCAGCACAATTACCGGCGCGAAATCAACTTTATAACTATAACTCCATTGTGCTTTTATCAGTTTATAATAATGTTATCGTGGTAATTCGCCATAATTTTCAATGTGTTTTCACTATAGATTTTATTATATTAATTTTATAAATATATTCACAACATCTGCGCCATTTTAAATGTACTTGAATGTAACATATTACGCGTGCGCTGTTACACCTAAAAAATCATCTCGCATGGCGAATACTCGAAGTTTTCATTGTAAATAAATGCAATTAAGTGCCATTTAAAAGCCTTTCATTGCCGTTGGCGCACGCAGTGTAGTTTTCACAAAGAGTTTTAATGAGTTATAAACGAATTTAATCACAGTGACGAAATGCTATTGAGGCAGGCCGCACGGGCGGGTCGCTGGTGCGCATACGTCTGGATTAGCATGACAACATGGTCTTTCACGCTCCGCAATTAGCTAGCAACGAAGAATAAAGGCAGAATAAATCAATTAGATTTCAATATAAAAGTTACGCCGGCCCGATACACGCTATCTGCACGACGGTGAAATAAATTAGCATCGAGTCATTGTGACGTCAGAACGTAACGTCATCAGAGCGACCGTCTGCACGGTGTGTATGCGGTGGTGTATGTGTGCAGCTGTATACACTAGCTGCTGTTGCTGCTGCTGCCACATATATATATATAATTACGTATATATTAATAATGCGCACGTCAATTAAAACAAAGGTGTTTAAATGTTTAAGTGATGGTTTTGACTAAATATTAGACAATTTATACATCCGTCTTGGTTGTTGTTGGCCAAAAGCATTGAGGTCACGTAGTCAGTCATTACTTAGCATTAATGACGTCACGCGGTCACGCGTCTTTCGCTAGTGGTGACGTCACGCGGTCACGCGTCTTTCGCTAGTGATGACGTCACGCGGTCACTGGTTATTAGCAGTTGGTGACGTACAGTAGTTAGACATTGGTGAGCATCCGGGTGACGTCACCGGCGCGTCAGTGTCAAACTTCTCGTTTTTTACGCGCAGGAAGCAAAATGCGTGCGGCTGCTGCTCCTGCTCCTGCTGCTGTTGTTTCTGTTGTTGTTGCTGTTGCTGCTGCTGCTGTTGTTCCTGATACTTTAGCACCTGATTGAGAAGATTAATGTAGCGGATTGCGAGGCGCAGTATCTCGTTCTTACTTAGCTTCTTGTCGTGCGGGTATGTCGGCACCAGTTTCCGCAGATCCGCGAAAGCCGTGTTCACGTTCTGCTGACGCCATCGTTCGCGCGTGTTCGTGAAATTCCGGCGCGTCTTCACGACGGGGGCGCCACCGTCGTAGGCGAGCTTGCGCTTGTGCGAGCGTCGCTGCTTGTCGTCGTCGCCGACCTCGTTGCTCGTCGTCGAGTCGGCGGCCGTCACCATGTCGCGATCGTCCTTGTCCCAGACGCGGTCGCTCTCCATGTCGTCCGAGTTTGAGAAGTCGTCGTCGTCGCTAAGGAAATGCAGTTCTGACGTCGAAGAGCATTCGTCAGGGTCAAGGTCGTTGTCCATGATAGCGCGGTCGTCCCCTATAGGCGTCATATATACACGCACACGCGCACGCGCGCACGCACGAACGCGGGATGCTGGTGTTGGGTTAACGTAACGGGTTCATGGATGTATAGTCGCTAAACGCTTCTGGTTTCGTTCGTATCCCATGCAGACGTTCTCGTGTTATAGCGCAGGTTTCTATGAGGTTTATACGTCTACGTCCTGAAAAAACAGCGAAAGCCTTCGACATTAACCTGTTATATTTTCTCAATTTCATGAGATATAATTTAAATAGTATTGGCGTAGATTTCTGCCGCCTTCTTCTTTTTCTCTCGTTCTCATTATTATTATTATTATTATTATTTTATCAGAGTATAATTTATTTTTATTTATTTAAAATAACTGTAGGGTAACAACAAACCAATTCTGGACAGATACATGAACGTGGAATGAAAGGACATGAAAAGAAGACCAAATATATCAGGTACGGAATACACGTTTCAATAGTTTACGATTGCAATGTTATCTCTTCCTTTTCATTGGCCTTGTACATATA